GCCCCGCCCCGCCCTAACTCCATCCCCCAGCGGACGTCCCACCTACAAAGGCCCCTCCGGGACTCCAGCCCCACCACCGGCCCCACCTCCTGGCCCCCTAACCACAACGCAAGTCCTCCTACCGTGCGAGGTTGGCCAGCGGTGGATACCGAACCTTGGGGTCCGGTAGTCCACACATCCCTCCCTGCTCTGGGAAAAGGCAGGCAGGTGCTGACCGTGGGCTTGGACCCAGGGTCTGCGCACGCATACCATAGTTGTTAAGTGCAGGTGAGAGGGCCTGGCAAGCACAGTCAGGAGCAGGTGCTGTGCGACCCCCAGCCTAGGGGTCCACACCCTGTGATCCTGCACTGCACTGACCTCAGGTCTGACTCAGGTCTGAGGCCCACGGGGCCTGTCTCCCGCCACCAAAAACTGACCAACCCCTTTCTAACTCAGCGCCCTCTGGGTCCTCACCTAGATTCCTGCCTCAGCATCAGACCCACTTCCTGTCTGGGCCAGGCTTCACTACCACTTTATTAGAAAGTCCTTTGCTTGTTGTGGTGGTGGTGCAGGCCTATGACCTTGGCACTCCTGGAGGCTGAAGCAGGAGGATCACAATGCAAGCCCAGCCTGGGCAATCCAGCAATTTAGCAAGATTAATAAAGGGCTGGGCACGCAGCTCAGCGTGAAGGCTCTGGCTGACTGCTTGTCTGCCCTGGTGGGGCCAGCTCCACCCCAGGGAACTGCACTAGGAGCATGAGGTCCCAGCCTGCAATGCTACTGGAGGGAGCAGGGTGCTGGCACCCAGGTATGGAAGGCAGACCAGGGGTTCGGCTCCCCAGGACCCTGGGGAGGCAGTGAGAGGTGGCTCCAGGCAACGCTGCCTGCCAAGCTATTGGTAGGGACACAAGGCCAGGCTCAGGCTCGCCTGCCCTGCCAAGCCCGTCCTGCCCAGGCCCAGCCTGTGGTCCTGTCCCTGACCAGCAAAGGGCTACGCTCAGAGATGTCATCACTGTGGGTGCCCCAGCCTGTGGCTCTGCAACCTTGTCCCAGCCAGGCCTGTGCCAGCGTGAGTGCTCGGAGGGCTGAGCAACGTTCCCAGGCATGGAGAACTAAGCTAGCAGAGCCTGGAGGCAAGGGAGGGCTCATGCCAGGTCCCTGCCCAGGGAGCCCCGGCTTAGCCCTCTGGCTCATTTTCCACCTAGTATGACAGTGTCAGGCCCTCCGGGAAGTCCTGTCCCACGGGCCATGGTGGAAAGGCTGGCCCACGTGTTCTCCAATTTCTATTTTTACAGCTGAGCCCCCACTCGCAGCCCATATAGCCTGATCTGGATCTTGAAAGCCTCCCATTCCGTTCCAGATCCCACATCTGGCCCACAAGCACCGAGGCCTCTGTGTCCTCTTCCTGCTCCAGTACTCGGCCACCAATCTCAGGACCACCAGCAGCACACAGGCTCTACAAGGGGAAGCTGAGGCCCAAGACAGGGTGAAGCTCTCAGCTGACTGGCCTGCCACTTAGGAGCTGAGCGCTGTGACATCAGAGACCCAGGGTTGCCCAAAATGTAGGGGACATCAGGCTCCGCCCCTTCACAGGCGGACCTGGAGCTTTATGTGCCGTTGCTGTTTCCATCCCAAGTTGAAGCCTCCTGTGTCTCAAGGCTTCCTGCACAGTGCAGGGCCGCGCATAGTTCAGCCCATTGCTCTGGTTTCACTTCCATATCCAGAAATAACCTGGTGCTGCTTCCTGACCTCCACTGCCAGTGCCACTGTCCTCACGCCATGTGGCTGAGACCCACAGGCAGGGCGTGACCCTGTGATGCCAGGTGAATTCTCTTCACACCTCAACCATATGACATCACAGTGACATTTCCTTTCCTGCTCACCTTCTTGTTCCCCTGAGTGAATACGTGTCATCTTTTGTTTTTAGTTTATTTTTTCCCTGTTTTTGTTTAGGGACAGCATTTCTCTTTGTACCCCAGGCTGGCCATGAACTCACTGCACAGCCCACGCTGGCTGGAACCCTGGCCAGCACTGAGCTTTGTCATTAACCTGCAGGGATACTCTCCCTGCCCTAGAGACCCCGGTGCCACCCGGGTTACCTGTGATAGCGAAGTGGAAGGCCCTGAGGGGTTTTCACGGCTTCAGGAGGAGGAAAAGGGCTCCGAGTAGGTACAAGAGGTATCTGAGAGGCACGAACTGCCATCCGCATGTTGCCCTGGTGCTGAGAGCTTTGGGCCTCAACTGGTGTCACATCTGGCTCAGAGCATGTCACCCGCATGCAGACAGGCAGTCCTGGACACAACACAAACATGCTTAATGAGTGACAAGAGCACCCTTTGCCAGAAACATTAAGGCCCAGGAGGGGACATACTTGCCTGGGCTGCCAGGGCTGCAGGGCAGTCTCCCTGTCCTGCCAGTTTCGAGTGCTGAGCCGCACGCCCCCAGGCAGCATTCATCAGAGGCAGCTGGGGCCCTCAGTCCTCCCACTCTTGGGACCCTGGGCTGGGGCCTGCTCTCGCACCTGGGGGAGGAGACAGCTGTAGTCCAGGGTTTGCCCCTCAACCTAAGGCAGAGGCAACCACGGCCAGGACCTCGCTCCTCCCTGGGGCTGGAGCATCAGGGAGGATGGCTCAGTTCTAAGTACGGTCAGGAAGTGGAACAAGATGAAGGGACCTCAGGGACGTGGCACATATGGAAGAAGGGAGGGAGGGATCTGCAGCAGGGTTGGGGACCGGTAGCCAGGTTAGGGACCTGCAGCAGGTAGGGGACACCTCCCCACAGTCTCCCAGGCTGGAATCAAGGTCTGCCTCCCCCAGACATTCATTCCTGCAGTGAGGCCCACACCACCATCCTGTAAGTGTCTGTGCGGGGTGCCAGGGACAGCAGATATTCAGGGTCCTTTTCAGCCTCCCTGGCTTGGGTCTAGGTCGCAGGCCCCCATTGCTGTGCCCTCAGCCTCACCTACCACCTCTCACTGCCTCCTTCTTCCAGGGAGGACACGAGCAACCTGCAGCCCAGGGTGCCCCCACAATCTGAGTGGAACCAATGAGCAAGTTCAGTTCTAGCTGGGTTCCCCGGCCAGGCAAGGTGTTATGGACCAGGACGGAGCGCCTCAGGTCATAGTGAGGCCAACTGCACTAAGAGAAATCTGCTGTCACAAGCCTGCTGGCTTCACCTCAGCAGCCCCAGATCTGGTTGGTCACGACCAGCTCAGCAGCTGTCGCTCTGAGCCAGGCCAGTGTCACCCTGCCCTGGGTCTCCTCAGCCAGAACAGGCAAGGCTCCCACTTCACTCCAAGGAAGCTGGGGCCCCCACTCATGTGGGTTCCCACCCTCATGGCTTCTGTGTTCCCCTCTGCTGCCACCCTACCCCACCTCCGTCCACTGCACAGGCCCTGCTGTCCCAGCCTTAACTGCTATAGCCCTGCCTCTGGCCTCTCCGTGGAATACGGGTTCTTCCCAATTCTATGGATCTCTCTCCTGAACCTTCCAGAGCTCTGCTGACACCTCCTGGCTGCCACCCTCCTGGCCCACCAAGGGACAGAGCTGGCCTGGGAGCCTATGAGTGAGAAATCCTTCATGTTTCCTCAGCCTGGTGTTCCAACACGGTGGGCTGGGAGGACACAGCTAGGCTAGGATGCTCCCTAAGGCCAGCACCAGAGAGTGAGAGTTACAGAATTTGAGACAGAGGCTGGACAGAGTACCCTTGCCCTCCAGCACGTGGGAGGTTGGGGTTCTGTCCCTAGCACAACAGAAAATAAAGGTGTCATGGGGTTGACAACTGTGGGAGGGAGAGCGGGCATCGCACTTGGTCTTGCATCTGACTGTGCCAGGTGTGTGGCTGGTGACACACTGAACTGCACACTCTCTCTTCCCACTCCTGGGGCTCCGCTAGCTATGTGTGGGGCTGTGCTCTGCTGGGTGTCTGCTCCAGTGTCTGCCCCCTCAGCAGGCTGCAAGCCAAGCCACTCACCTGATGCAGGGAGCTGCACTCAAGCCTGCAAGGCCATCCTGCCAGTCCCTGGGCCTACTGCGACGTCCTGCAGCAGCCACATGGACACCTGGGGGGGGGCAGAGAACGGTGGGGGTTACTTCCACAGGGGGTGGGGAGGATAAGATGGAGGACCAGGGCTGTCTCCATAGAGACCACTCAACACCATCGTTCCTAGGAGCCAGGTAGGCCAGGACACTGGGAGCTGCACTCCCACTGCAGGATGAAGTTGACCCAGGCACACCTGGTACTGTCTGAGCCTCTGGTCCCTAAGCCACACTGCCCCCTCGTGGAGATGCCACAGGAAGTGCTGTCCCTCCACAAGGGCTCTCTCACTGGAGGTGACAGTATGTTGGTACACCTGTAGATGTGTGTGTGTGTGAGCGGCGTGTATACATGTGCTTCACTGTGTGGGCCTGGCCATCACGATGGTGACAGGGCCAGGAGTGAGGTCCCAGGACCCAGGCAGAAGGGGGAGGGATGACTCTGAGGGAAGAGGACAGAGGAGGAGACCTGTGTATAACTCCAGCTGGTGATTTCCACGCGGCCCACCCCTCAGTCGCCTCCCTGCACCTAGAGTGAGCCCAGCCAGAGCAGGGCTGGAACCCTGCGTCTACCCGCCCTGCCTGCCACACTACACTGGCAGCTCTGGCCCTGATGCCCCACGATGCGCAGCTCCCTCCTGTTGGGGCCATTGACCCAGATCTGCACACCACTCCTCCTTGTCCTTCATTATGGGGCAGAAATGTCACCTCCTCCTCAAGCTGGCCTCCGAAGGTCGGTCCCTCCGGTTCTGCTTTCTGTCCCTCCAGCATCCGTGCTTGGCAGGAGGTACTTCCTCCTTTATCAACCCACCTGTTTCACAGCTGTTCAGGCTTCCAGCAGGTGCGCTGGTGAGACATAGGACGTGCTGACGCTGACTTTGAACAGTTCTGTACACCTCGCTGGCAGAGCCTGCCCTGCGCCCCTCGTCTGTACAGTGCCGTGATGGCTGCTGACTGCACGCACTGGACAGCACTGTGGTGTTGTGTTATACATCACAACACTGCTGCAAGAGTTATGCAAGTCAAGGGAGGTCACCAAGGTGGGGTTTGTTGGGCCATTTTTGTGTTCGGATATTATGATGTTCATCCTCTACACAATGCCTCACTCAGTGACCAATTTAACAACACGATCGCAGGAATAGAACTCGGCTGGTAAACAAGGAGTGTCTATACTCCTCTGTGGAAAGGGCATAGTCTACATCGTTAGTATCAGCCAGTGAATCCCCTCACCTGGCCCACTGTCTGGGGAGCTCTCACGTACCTTGTCAACAGGGGTCTGCAGTCCTTCACTTTGATTCTGAAGTCCCCAGAATTCAGGAACCCAAAATGTTTCTCTTAAAACCTGGTGCAAAACGCGACTTGAACTCCCGTTGCCAGGTTTCTATGATCCCAGCTGTTAGCAGTGTCTGGCAACACCAAGCCTGCACAGTCACCAAGATTTCTGTGGCCAGGACCCAGGCTCAGTTCAGCTGGGTTCCCCTGGTCACAGCCCCGTGCTAGCTGTGATCTCCTGTAGTCTCAGGGTGCCCAGGGTCCTCTGAGATAGAGGAGGGCTCCTCACAAAAGGGGGAATTGTGGAGTGCTACCCTCCCCTAGAAGTCCCACTCTGTCCTCTTCAGCACCCTTTGGTTGCAAGGGTCAGGCCCTGTCCAGGGCCTTGGAGGGGACAACACCAGAGCGACAGTGGGAAAGAGGGTGTCCTCTCAGAGGCTGGCTGCCACCCCAAACTGAGTTTCCTTTGCAAAGTCGGCCTGGCCCACGCTGGGGTGAAGGACCCTGGTTCTCCTCCTTGAGCCCAGTTCGCCGCGTGCCTCCAGGGCCCTGAAAGACAGGTCTTGGGCTCCACCCACGGCCACCCTGTGATGCCACCTCCCAGGGAGCTGTGCCCACGGACCGGGTCAGGAGGACCCCACGCTCTCATCCTGCTGCACCCCTGCCGGGCAGAAAGGCCTCCTGTGACCCATTTTGCTCCCACGGTAAGAAGCGGCCCTCGAAGAGGATCCGCGCCTGTCTCGTGCGTTATGACAGGCGTGGGTCACACAAAAAGAGACCGTGTAGGGCACCGAGTGGAAGGGCGGGTGGCTCGCTGGCCGGGACAGCCGCGGGCCGGAGCGGGAGCTCTGCCAGACCCTGGGTGCTTGGGTCTCTGCCGGCCTCTGCAACCCTGGGGAGCCCTCGGATCCTCCAGTCTCGGGGTCCCCACACACAGGCGAGCACGCACAGGCTTTGGCGGCGTGGGCCCCACAGGCAGGTCCAACACTTGGGGTCATTAGACTCCCGTTC